TGTTCAACCAGGTCGTCTAACAGGGTTAACCTCATTTTCTTAATCTCCACATCCACTGAAGCTACATGCGTCCGGAAGAAAATATGGCTATTCCTCACGTGGTCCTGCTATTTTACTCTCAATATGAATTGAAGCAAATGCTGCTGTACACAGTTTAATCGGCGCTCTTACCCTTTCGTTACAACAACTGTCCTCAAACAAGGCTGACCCAAAAAAGGCAAGGTAGAGGTGGATTTTCGTGGGAAGAATAACGTCTTCTACAACTCAAATATTGGACAGGTTTCCATAAGCACATGAAAATAGGTCAATTTAATCTTGGCTGGAGTGTCATCATAAATCATGCAGCCGAGATACAAACATAAACTGGTCAAAATGCTTAAGGGCTTAACCTCGCTGTTCCTCTAGTATATCAGCTGTGCTGGATGCGTTCTTCATAGCTTTCGACCTCCGGGCCTTAAGGAAGAGGGCGAGTTTCGCAGCTGTGTTCCATATTGAGGCTGTCAGGTTACAGAGCCCTCTTCCCGTACTACTCACCAGGACAATATTATATGCATACTTCAGGTGAGCAAAATACGTAACAGTATTTTGAACTGCGCCTCTCTCCAAGAAGAGATTTTTATCTTTGCCAGAGTAAACACTGTTTCAGAGAAGAAGGTGCACAAGAATGCTGAGTAGCAAAGGCGAAAGTACATCTCCTTCGAGAATTCCGCAGTTGACAGGGGACCACTCGTAGAGCGCTCCTTCAACTTTGACAATAAACATGGACCTCAAACTCACGGAAACTGACAAATCAAAGCAACTGGTTCAGTGATTTTCAGAGTGAAAATCTGGTCTGGACAGGATTACCTCTTCCTGAAGGCTATCTGAATTGGGCAAAATTTCCTGCCTCAGCCTTTCCATCATAATTCAGGAAAAAAGTTTCCCAGAAGATGATGGTAATTTGACACAAAGAACAATTAGAACACTCGGTCCCGCTTTAATTATGGGGACAGTTACTCTCCATTTGCAAACGTTTGTACGTCCATATTTGATGAAACATGCGATGGAAGTTTTCTACCCTTTCCATTCCCTCATACTTAATTAACCCCGGAGGAATTTCATCCACCCAGAGGCCTTCATCATCTCGATCTGTTTCAAGGTTTATTGGATCACTAGTTTTGTGGGTGAATGTGTACGGACCTCTAGTGTCATAAGAGAATTAATTAATTATGCAAATCAGAAATCTTTAGGGAGGCTGTTGAGTAGCTGATGGAAATGTTGAGCCCTTCTCTTGAGGCGTTGCTTCCTCACCTGCCAATGGGAGACCGCTAGCGTCTTCGAGAAGGAGACAGACCGAGTCTCTCGCTTATCACATAATCGACTCAGACAACCTCCAGTTCTGTTCCATGCCCCGTCTATAGCTCTGGTTGACTGCAAGACAGGAAGCAGCATTGACGGAGCACTAAGGTGGTTGCAAGTACTTCTTCTTTGGCTGATTCCTTTGCAATCTAAGGACTACGAAGTTCTCCTTAACCCATCGCAGTTTCACCACTCTGTACCTGAGTCCAAGCACGTTTATGGCCGAGGCAATGACGGCTTCTTTGAACTCTTTATAAGCCTCATGGACGTTGCCACTTCCTGCCGACTGGGCACCAAAGGCAGCATTAAAATATCTGTCCTCGTTTTGGTATGGCAACCGGGCGGCTTCGTCATTTGCTAGTCTGTGATCATCGAGTAGTTGATATGTTTCAAGCAAATAGTGTCGATGGGACACGGCCAAGTTTAGGCAAAGTTTCATGATGATCAGACCCAATGAATGTGTCACGGCTGACGCGAGTCTCCAGTAAGGAGGTGCGCCATTCGCGGTTGATGAGGACGTGGTTCATTTGAATATTGAGGCATTCATCATGGACGTAGAGGTGGATTGGTAACTACGTTAATGAGGAAACAGGGTCCCGCCGACGATTAAGCTCCATTTACACCATAGACCGGCGGGCATTCTTTCCGACAGCCGTTCCACCAAAATGACTGCTCGGCTTACGCAAGACCCTAAGGTACAAGAGCATGGCCATACCAGCAAGCTTTAATCTAATATGGTGCCTGAGCGCCAAAATGCCCACCCATCCTACAGGTCAAACGTCTTCTTCCCCAGCAGGTGACCTCCTGTACATCGAGTCTGTAACGGCTGGCTGTACGATAGATATTGTCTACCTCACCCTCATCAGGCAACGGACAGACGTTCGAAAGTGTAAAAGAACTTATCGTTCGTAATGTTGACTGCTGGAATCACGGCTTTCTTGGTTCACGTTTGACCGGAAACCGCTGACCAGAAAAACATCATGGTAGGGTCATCAGCGATTATTAATAGGATTTTTATTATATGCAGAACATAGAAATGTGTCCTTGATTTTGCTGGGTACGGCAGTACAGCTCGTTGGCCTGTTTCAAAACGCTCATGCTGCTGCGTTTTCTAAAACTAGTCATCGATTCAAACTCTACCCAACTGCTATGCCACCATCGTCATGCAGTACCATATGATTCTGCGACTATGCTGTAGAGTAAGCTGCACATAGCTTCGCTGAGTACTTGGCTCCTCATTCAGAACTGTGAGTCAATTTCACTCCATACATAAATGGTGACAGGGTTGCGAACTAAAAAGTGCCGAAGTACTGAAACCTTCGCTGTAAACAATAAGCGTTTAGTCCATTTATGCGTTGTCATCCCTCCATCATCAGGTCCACTCTAAAACATGTAATTATGAGAGTCTTTTTAGAGATATTTATAACTTCCTGAAGAGACCACCAGGAAATGACCAGGTTCAATCTCGACAAGTCCGTTCCTTAGAAAATAGTCAAAACGCCTGAGGACAGTCTTTATTGAGGCGAAAAACTACTTGTCCCTTTCAAGAAACTAAAGGCCGCCATCGTCACAGTCGTCTTGCGGTTAAAGGTCGGTTCGTACAAGGCTAGAAAAGGCAACCTTGATGAAAGAGAGGATGGAATCAGGGACCAGTCCGTACGAAATTCCTCGTACCACCGTATGCCCTGCTAGAGGCCGGCAAAACTTCATGCATTGTTACAACGCAAAGTGTGGCAGCTTGCACGATTCGTCACCGAATACAGGTCGGTTCAGATGATCAGATATTCTGTCCAGTTTGTTTATCGAGATTAATATTTATTTCCAATGAATCACACTTCACGCTTCGGTGCCATTTTGACTTACCGGCCGCCGTCCGGCTGATTATAGCTGCCAGTAGTTCGACGTTCGCTCGCTTTTGGAGAAGTAATGACTAATTCATGACGTTCTGGAAAATTCTCGTTCCGGACAGAATACTCGTGAGAACGCTGAAGCTCTTTTTCGCGGTTCTGAAATGAAGAATTGCATCAGAGTAAATTTAATCCACTTATTATGAGAGAATTAAAATAAATGATAAATATATTTTCAGCATTTCATTTTCCATATATCCGCCGTTTTGAATTTTCCTCCATCTTCTCAATGTATTGAGCGTAACACAAGATATTTTTATTCAAGATATTCACTCTAAGAAATATGAAATTCTTGAATATGCTTCATAGAAATTAATATCTAAACTCTTATATAAATTTTAATCGTCGTTATCCTTAATACAATTCCCAGACAAAACCTGGCGAGCCAGCACCTGACATCGCCATTCCGTTTATTCCTGCATCTCTCTCCTTAACATCAAAAACAAAGTATTCGTGTTCCGTTTACAAAATACACAACATCCCTGGATCCACTCTGTACAAGAAGTTAAACTCCTGAATTAATCACAACAAATCTAATGTGATTTATTGGACAGACTGCCATAAAATTTATATTGGAACATGGATGACCCTAAAAGTGAGCATAAAAAGTTACCAAGAGTTAGTTAGGAGAAACCGTTCACAGCATACTGAGATTGTAGCGCATTCGCTACAATGGAAATATGAACTTAATTTTAAAAGCATAAGCACCCTGGCTATGAAAATTCTAGAATCCGCTTAGTTATTAAAATATCTCTACATATTTCGCTGAACAAGGCAAGGATGGTAACAACTACACCGGTTCCACTGAGATCTGTTCAGCTTCGAAATTCGCCATCCTGGCCGGACCAATTTTCTCGATTATCCTCAGCTGAGGTTTTTTCTTCAATAATCCCAGTTTGCCTCTCATTGTAAAGTTTCTTCAACTTTTGTGGTTTTCATTGTTTCACGAAATGGCTGTTTTGTAGCCTTTCTGTAATTTGTTATTTTCCATTGTATCACTGTGTCGCGAAAAATTTCCTGTTAATAGCTTCTGTGCCGAAAAACGAAACGTTGGAATAAGAGGATTACTTCGTGCCATGCCCAAAGTTCTGCATTGAAAAAATGGAGGGAAACGGTTATCCAATCGCTGGATTATTGCTCAATCGCTCAACCAATCAGTGAGACTTACGAACATGAACAAAGGCGGTTTCCTTCATCGTAAAAATGTGTAATCGCTACTGGAAGAAGTACACAAGGTAAAAAAGTGACAAATAGAAAACATATCACACAAGACACGCGCCTATCTATAATCTCGCTGTGTCTGTGGATAGGATACTGAAAGTCAAGCGTCTCTGTTCTTCTGAATCCCTGACGGCCTCAACGAGAGGCGGCAAGATTGGTTCACAAAGCAGCCTCGAAGAGAAGCGCAGGTATAACACATACGCAGTTTTGTGTACAGTTGTAACCTCTACTAAATTCCAGCTTTCGGATACTCAGAAATCGTTTCACGAACCTAATATCTATATGGTTGAGGTTGTCAGCCAACAGCAATTCACCAATGTCAAAAGATTTCTCACTGGCGAATGTCTGAATTTAAAAATTTTGAAAATGAGACAAAATTTTAAAAGCTGTACTTCTACTCCTTCATACTTCATACCCATTGATTCGAAATTATGTTCCTTTTCCTTCTTTAGTAGTACTACCTTTTCGAAAGAACAAACCTGTTCATAAAGTCATCATCGTTAGTCTGATTTATGGTCCTGAAGCATATGAAGAAACAACAACCTTCAAGCAGACCGACCTTATGACAAAACTAAGTATTGACGTCTGAGCAAGGCGAATATCATAATAGCTGAATAAGTTTGAATTACTACCATGAAAACTAACTCTTATAAGAAGTAAGGAAAATAGTAAATATACACAATGAAGACAAATGTATAGGTAGGGTAAGTGAGTCAGTATAGCGTCAGATTGGAAGTCGAAAAATAGCTGATTCAGACCCTGGCCGGATCGATCCCTTTCGTCGTTCTGTGGCGAAGAAGCAGAAAACTATACCATGGAATGGACAGAAAGACGTAGCCATTGCTTTCACAAAAAATTGATACTCCTGAAGAAACTGACATTCCATAAAAAATTTATGGAATCGCAAGACGGATCAGCAATGGAAAAATGTATTACCAATGAGGGAAAAGAATGCGAGGATCACATTCAAAAGAGAAGCCGTTCATATTCCTTCATCTATGCGAAATTAAGGTTCATTTTTCGATTTCGCATCTTTTGACATATTTTCCGAAAGAATAATGGAACAGTTGTCCCCTCCCTTCGGAATGATGACGAAACGAATTTAAAATCAAGACCACGCCAGCATAATGATGCTGAATGCTGATCTTTCAAGTCTGGACTATCCACGTGAATAAAAGAAAATGCTTTGTTATTACCCTAGATACCTACCAACAACCATCATGATCATCCTTTTTAACCCATGAATCTCTATGCTTCGTTCAGAAAGTTTATTTCATGCTTTTTTCTCTTTCCGCAAGAGTTTCAATCGGAATGTGTTTTCCCTCAATTGAATGGTTTGAGAAAAAAATTCAGTTCAACCAGCCCTGTTTATCATAAACCTCGTCAGCAGACTCATGACTGCTGTAGGGGGTATAGAATATTCAATTCACGGTAATTCACTCTGCTAAATGATCCCTCACATAGACTATCATCGGCTCTTTGCGAAGAGGTCGTGAGAACATCTGATGGTGCAGGATATTTTACTTTTTAGTGAAGAATACAGCTTTTCAAACGATTTAAACGGAAGCACCTGACCGTTGGACATTTAGCATGAAGAGTCGCTAGAAAGCAAGCTCACTTTCAGTTCACGAACTTGGTCTGCCATCAGTCGACTGCGCGGACTCTCTTCTGGAGGAGGTTTTACCTCGCCGTACGGAGGGTACCGTTTGCGATCTGGCAACACCACTGAAATGCCGCTTCTGTAGGTGTTCCGATCCAGCATAACAGATTGGTATTTGGCCGGGGACCGTTGCAGCTGGTCCCCTGATTGCTGAAGCACGATCTTGCGTTGCAGACTACCGGAGGGGTTCGATGGCTTCTGCCTCACGTACCTCGTTCCTCTAGTTATCGCTGCCGGCGATGTATCACTTGGACGTGATTTGATTTGACTAAACACACAGAACATATAGTACTCATCAACGTTCATTATTCGGTTAATAATGAATAATAAATAATCAATGACTTGGTGTTCTTAACTGAAAATAATGCAATTTAAAAATATATTATGCATATAACAGTTTCGAGAAAATAATAATTTTTGTACAACTTTGCATTATCGAGTCGAATAACGAAATTTAAGAATTAAAAACACTTACTAGATGTCCCCAGTGCTCTTGCTTTGAGGCAAGTAGTTTTGGTACGGTCTTTTCTCGTCGAAGGCACAAAGCTCAACTCTGAAGTTTGCGTATTTGTTTCTTCGAGACTCCTTCAAGTACGAAGGAACAGATATGCCGAGATTCGTCACAACGTCGCTATGCTGTTGGACGTAGGCAATCAGCAGCTGTTTCTCCCTTTCGAACAAGGCGTCGCCCTTCGCCATGCCTTCGGAACTAAAATTCTCTTCCTCTGCGTAATAGCCATAGTAGCCGTCTGTCTTTGGAGAGTAACGAGCCGGCAAACTCCCACCGATGTTTTGCGGGGACAGCTGGTACGCCCTCACCGCTCGGTCCATTACCGTCAACTGCTTCGCTATCTCTTCCGTGTCTTCGCAGTACGCCCTACCGGTCGATTCGCGGCCTACGTCGAACACCCTAAATTGAGGCACGGTGAGTGTGGTGGCGTGAAGTCCACATATTTTATTACAGAAAATCTACGCTTAAACAAATTTAGGTGATTACTGAAGATACACAGCATTACGTGACCTAGTTTTCGTGAGGTACTCCGAAGTGATTGAGGCGAATAAGAACCATCTGCAGCACCACGTTGCTAACACTTCAATTCCTGGGTTAGTAAAGTTCCTATGAATTTTCCGCCATCCCTTTGTGTACCGGACAACCAACTCAGAAACAGATAGATGTTCCATTTATGAAGTAATTTTTCTGCTGAAAAAAGTCATTCCCTTATGCAGAGTGCTTCTACTTCACTTTCCCAACATCTTAACATGTCAGAGTTAAATATCTCAGTAAGGAAGTGGCTTGGACCGGGACTCAGCTATTTACCAAGAATGCAGGCGAGGCATTTAAGAGGAAGAGGTTTTGCGGCAGGTTATGACGATGAAGCGATGAGATACCGTCACAGGCAGGAAATGAATAACAGGTAATTGGAAAGTGAGACAGACTGATCAAAAACAAAAGAGTAGGAATAGATTACTGTAAAGGCAAGAGTGACATTGCAATATTTGGCAAGAGTGATATTTGGTATATGAACATAGGGCAATCCCCCACATTGTTGGTACTATGCTTCAGTTGAAATTTTAATCCATATTCACTGAGGTGGGAAAGCGCACATATTCATTCATTTTACAAGTTAAGGTAATTAACAGTATGACACTAAACCAATTACAATTCTTAATTTTGACTAGCTTAGTTTTGACCATCTACCACCGGTCATTCTTGTTTCTTGGATAGTAGCGTTTCGATAGAGAGAGCGGAAAACCCTTGTCCAAATCTTGTCTGATCCGTGTACAAAAGTTTCATGTTTCAAAGTTAGTTCGTGTCACAGACTGCATCACGCATCTTTGGATAATTATGAAAAAACTAAGGTGATAAGTTAAAACTGCACAAAAACAGTTTATACACAATGCAAACAAATAAGTTGTCAATTTGGTGAGTGACCGGTACCGACGTTTCGACGGTAAAATAAGGTGATTAACTCTCAGGCTAGGTAGATGGTCTGCAAAGCTGAAAAATGCATGTACACGTATTTGTGGTAATTTTCAATAGTGATAAAAATTTAAAAATTAATTCGATATGAATTTACCATCACGCATTTAAGCGTCTGTGGAAGTTTTCGTCTGTCGTCATGTTTATGTGCGACCTGCACGGCAGCAGTACTCATGGCGGCACGCTTTAATTACTCATCCTCGTTTACACTCGCAGTCAAACGCCCAGTCAAACAAGCAGCAGAAAACTATGTGCAAACAAATTTCCGCTGCAAGGCTGTGCACCGGTTGAAAGTATAATACAATAAGGCCAGAAAAAACAATGAAGAAAAAGTCCTTTTGGACAAATGAATGGACGTCCATTGCAGCATGAACAAAAAGTACCGGAAACGAAAGGTTCGAAACGCTCAGCGACAAGAGGCAATTATCGCGTAATGAAATCAGGCAGCCGCAACGTGAATCCCAAAGCCATCTAACGACGCATCGTCTATTGAAAGTATCGGTCTATGTCGCATGATGACGTATCACAGCAGACCTGCATATCAGAACATTGGTTTTTAGCCAGTAGGAAATGCTGGCCGACGTCCTGCGCTTTCTCAGCGCTAAACATCGACAGGCTAGCCGGTTCGAGATTTGAACTAGAGGCTGAAACTGAGATCATGACCTTAAGACTTGAGAGGCAATTCCGTTCTTGCAAAGCTGGTAGTCCTACTATTTGACGTCTGAAACTGCTAGCAAATAATTATGAACCATAATCCTCACTGCATTCGCTCAGGATATATTTATATTCCTTCAGGCATATTTATTAGCACATAGATACGAGGCTAACGCTGCTTTTATCGTGCAGTTATAAAATCCACCTCCTAGAACAGCTCATCTGGTTGATGAAGCATCAAGACGAAGATCAACTCAGAACGTAATCGATCACACGAAAAAGTGGTGCATCATAAGTTGCAATTTCAAGAAATGTAAGGAACAGACATCTTGACAATATAACAATAATTAACATCACGTACATACATGATTTTTCTGAACTGTACATTACATATTTACAAACTAACCGCAAAATCTGGAAGAGATAAATGCTGAATCATCCTGCATATGCAAATTTTACCATCCATATCGGTGGACATTGAAATTAGTTTACTTTTCAGCACAAGTAGTGTGTTGTTTTTACTATACTGATCCCTCTCCTTCAGTCTACATCAAAGCCGTGCTGCAAACCTGCAAATGTGCAGGTAGTAATAGTGATGCTTAGATATAAGAGTAGACCTGGTAATTATTTGCAGACCGCCGGTTTTGCTCTGTCGGTAGAGCATCAAACTCAGAACCGACACTCGGTCCCGAGTTCAAACCCTAGTAAAGGTCGTTCATCCGTCATTTTTCTGAGATCAGTAAGTGAGTACCACTCTGTAGGAAGGGGGAAGCAACACCTTAAGCTGGTCACATGGTTTTAGACGCTGCAAGCACTCCTGAGTGATGGCATAGAAACGGAAATCAGCACCACACCATCAATTTCATGAAAAAAAGTGCGCCAAAATGGCCCAATCATGAAAGAGAAGGAAAACCGACACTCCAATGATTGTGTTTTAATTTTATAGTAATTCTTTTATGAGAAAAAATTTGGACTGAACGAGAAACCATTCTGTAGAGCAACATGCATTGTTTTTCAAAGTGATAGCTCATTGCGGATGAATAGAAAAGACATCTCCATCAGTCTGAACTGACCAAAACTCAGTGGTCATAAAGCAAACACCGGTAAACTACACAAAGAATTCATACAGCGCTATAACGAGAAAATGAAAACATGTTATGTAATACAAATACTATCATACAGGAGATCTGAATAATCCAACCTTACCGTTTCGTCCGACATTGAATTTGATTTTACTAGAATTTTGCTTCGATGTCCTACCCACTATACATTATGCTTTTACTATTTATCATTATCGCCATTTTGAATCTATATCATTGAAGTTAGTTCTCCTGTCTAACCCCTCCCCCTGATCTGCAAACAATTAGTGTTGCCGACGAATACAGCTAAACATTTTGATAACGCAAGGCACTCACTCTAAACACTGGTAATGTGCACTAAAAAATTCATATGCTAAGTAGTTTCACAAAAAGCACGGAGACCATATGTGTAAGAGGTTCTCATAAAATATTTTTGCCGTAATGAAACAGTGCAAAGTAACAACAACAACAACCGTGAAGGGAAAGAAATTACCGGAAAAGAGGTGATTCAGTTCGAACTCACAGAGGAGGACTTGGAGCGGGACAAGCTCAGTAGAACAGTCATCACTTAGAAACCCTTGGGAGAGACGAAAGGAAAACGGACGCCCTGTCCAAGTTGCCCTGCAGGCGTGGACAGTAACAGTAGTGTCAACCTGCTGCTAGGATCACATAAATTGACCAGGCGGAATTTGTCACTGATATGATAACAACGAACAATGATCGATCAAGTATCAATAGAAATAATGGCATGACGTAACTACTGTAATGTGAGACCAAAGGTGATCGTCTGATTCGTTGCATACTGAAAGAGGGAAATGACGCACTCTTTCTGCAGAAATAAGCCTAGAGTCCAAGGGAGAGTCAATCGATTAAGTTGTGAGGTGTCAAAGTTTGTTGCATTTTTCTTCGGTAGAACAAACATGTACAGTGGCATGAAAACAACCTTGGCCAATGAGATACCGATTATTTATATTTATGGTCACACAACGCTGACCGTTGAGTCAAGCGATTTTGTGCTGAGCACTTTTACAAGGACATGAAACTTCGACGGTTGTTCCGCAGGCTACTTCGCACGGATATAGAGGGAAAGGATTGT